AGTCCGCCGTTTCAGTCAAGAAGTCTCGGCTTCGATTCCTTACTCTTCCAATGTATTTACTCAAATTCTTTAGTTATAACACTATTTTATTTATGAACATTTCATTTACATGATAATTGACAAATATTAAATTGCACGGATTGAGTAGGATTTTTTTTAGAAACTTTACCCTCAAGCACTATCTCAAAGAGTATGATTTCTTTCGAATATGACCTTGGTCCCATGTGTTTACGCTGGGCACACAAAAGAACCAGGTTTGCTTCTTGGACTGAATAGTATTTATGCATTTTCCTCCGGTTTGTAATAATAAATATATATCTACATGCTTCGCCCAGATGGGCAACAATAAGTACATGTAAATACAAATAAGATTGTATCATAGTTTGGAGACCTTTCTGTTGAAAATGTGTCAGGGTTAAATCGTATACATATACATGTACAGTGCGTTAACTGGAGTGCGGGTATTAGTTACCCGCACTCCAGAGCATGCCCATTGATTGGTTCATTTTTGCTGGGGTTTACATATTGTTACGGCAGAGAAAGGGAAAGCGACAGAAATGTCATATTCAGATGTTCGTTCATTGGTTCATTTTTGCCGGGGTTTCATATTGTGACAACAGGGAACGTGTGTTTATGTTTGACTATGATACAAAAGAGAAAGAACACCAAAACACTCGGCAATCTGATTAATACTCGGGGGCTACGCCCCCTCGTACAAATCAGATAGCCTCGTGTTTCGGTGCTCTTTCTATTACTTATTCACCATTAGGTTAATCATCATGATGCAGTGCAAGTCTAGCGCAAATGTATACGGTGCCACAATTTTCGGTGCGGACCCATGATACGGTAGCAAGAACTCGGTCAGTTGTCACGCTTTTATGACTTTTTAAAGAAATTAAACAGCTTAAATTTATGTGCAATATTTTTTGTATTCCTATCTTTGATACTTACAGTTATATCAAGTAAATATTTTGATTGACAACATAATTTTCCCCTTTTTAAAAGTTTTCCAAATGTTCATTTTCCCCAAGCCAGCTCCAGCTGTTTTCATTAAAACAAAGAAATCGTTTTCATAAAAACTTGGTAAATACATAAGCTTCAATGATCATAATATTCCGTAGACACACTTTTATGAATACACTTACTTCAAAAGTGTGATTTTTATGTCGTTTTCCACCATGCATGTTGTGTTTTAGTGTTTGTTTTGTCTAAAATGATACGGTGCTGCACGCAGGATGATAAATTTTCGACGGTACGCGGAAAAATGATGCGTATACCCTTGACACCGTGCTTTAGTGTATTAAAAAGGTTTTTAATTTCCTGTAATTTTATTCTGTGATTATGCTTCAAAGCAGTCAATTGACCGTGAATTTTCTTTTCATATTTTGATTTCCTTGAAATCATTTTTCTCATCTGAAGGCATGCAACTTTAATATGATAATACATTAATTACATTCCATGAAAACGTTTAAAGATATAACATATCTCATGACATGTTTGTTCATTTTACATTACACCTTTAATGCAGCAAACATAAAAAGTCCTCACAAAAAGTAGTATGCAATCGTACCTATATTACATACGAATGTATGTAATATTTTTCTTGTCTAAAGACAATTGGATTGTCGATTTGAAATTATACAAATCATCATAATTATATCATTCTCTGTTTTAAGTTATAATATCTACACGACCAGTAAGGTAATGTAAGAAAACAATGATGATATTTTAGTCCTGAAAGGATTACACTTGAAATTAATTTTGAGACTTTGCGAATAATACCGTTTAATTTCTTTGCTAGTTGGATATTTGTTGTTGTTGTTTTCTCACAACCTGTTTAATCTTGTGAAAATTTTATAACGAAAAATAAACATATCAATTTAGATATACTGACTGTAGTAGGAGTAAAGGCACATAATGCCTGGAAATCTGGAAGGTCAAGTTGGTGGATGTGATCCCGCTTACTTGTCCAGTGATAAATATTAATAGTAATCAATATCAAACAATTTTGAATAACGCATACGCGTAAATGTTCAAGTACCGGTACGTCTGAGGTGACTTGAAAAGTTTTAGTTGCAATTATAATTTTACGCAAAGTTGACTTAATTTTACGCTGGTCGTAAATGAATACATTCATTACTCATTATACAAATTTAACACCCTATGTTTTTGTTTACATCTGAAGTTACGTGTAAGATCTACTAACTCCGACATTATTATGAATAATAGTCAAGGTGTTCCGATTAGCTAAAACCGTGTATCAGACTTGTTTCTTGGTTGTGACATTTGACTGGGATTTCCTTAAGAGGACAATGGCACTTCCGGCTCGACAGCATTCGGCCTCAAGCTTGACGATAAATTTCTTGTGTATGTTAATATTTCTTGCTCACTGGACAAAAACTGGTCATTATTTCTACTTGGAGGTCACGTACGTAAAAATGGTACAATTGTACAGAACCTGTGCATTTAAAATAAATAAATAAAAAGCTTAATAACCACATTCAACCCTGATTATGACCCCAAACTCAGACCCTTTCTATTATAGATATACAGGGAATTCCGTGTGTTTCAAAGCGTTTAAAGCCAATGTATAAATATTCTGTGGATCGCATGTGTAAAGCCCTGTTCCTGTTAAGCGGTCATGTTCTCGGCCGCAGCACACCCTAGCTTTCATTATTTAAACACCACAATAGTTAAAACCAAGCTAGGTGATATGTACATACAATATATTAAGCAATATCATGTTAGTTCAAGAGTCAAACACAACCTTAGGGTACAGAGAACATTTAAGTGTATTTCTTGCACAATATTTTAGTTAAATCAGCGACCCGTCTTAATTACTGGTAAGCTCTGCTAAAGTAACTAAATGATGCTGTGTTGTGCCTCAGAAAAATGACAATTTACCAACGAAAAGGCATAAGACTGTACCCTCTATAACGATCATTAAAAGTGTTATTCCGTATTAGAAAAAGACAAAAAATCACATTTTGTTTATAACTTTTTTTATGTATTTCATTTTTATAATCAATTTGTATACACAATTATTACAAACATAAAAAAATCTTTCAAACTTCGTTTCATCAAATAATGACAAATAAACAATTAAAATGTTCGCATGTTCATATTTAAAATAATTTAAGTCGTTTATGCCCGCCCATGCGGAACACGTTTGTTATCGTCCTGATTGGATCGGTTGCTATCCGGGGTTCTGGTTCTCCTAGTAGACTTCACACCATTAATAGGTGGGGTCGGAGAAAATGAGATCCATATTGCTTTAGGTGCTTGCTTCTGTGATGTCACCTTAAGCGGTTCATTGTCTCTTTTAATATCAGGAAGGCGGCAGGGATTTGATGGCTTTATTGGAGGCAAAACACGACAAGGAGCCGCTTTCTTCTGTGGGATCTTATTCTTGTTCTGTTGTTTTGTTGGTTGTATCATCGGAAGAGTTGGTTTGTTCCCGAAGGAAGGAGATCTCGGCATGTCACATTCATTATGGACATTCTTTAGTGGGGGCAGTGTCTGAGTCCTGCACTTAACGGAAGATGGCTCACGACTTGTGTTTTTCACCTGACTACGTTTTACAGATGCATTTGCTTTCTTTGACTCTTTCCTGTTAGAAGGAATATTTTTCTTCTGGTTTACCGGTCGGTTCTTCAGGCCAGTATCAATCTTTGATTTTATGTCTTTCTTTGGGATTCTCTTAGGAACAATTGTTTGTTTCTTTATTTGAGGAATGTTACGCTTTGCATCTGCGAAAGACGCGTGGTGTGTTCTGTTCAATTCTCTTATGTCTTCGTCTACACTATTCATATCACCGTGATAACCTGTAACATTTCTACCATATCTGCCAGTAAGGTCTCCGTTATCTGTCTGATAACTTAATCCTTTTAGTCTACGAAGTTCAATCTCAGGGTTGATATAGCACAATGTTGGCTTTATAACATGTCTCTCATCCTCTGGCACGAAATTCCTTCTTTTATAATGACCACTCAATGTCATTTTTGTATAATCCTTATCAGAAACAGTATATCTTTCGCTGTCTCTAGAAGCACTTCCGTAGGGATGAACAATAGGTTTGGGAATTTTCGAGCGTCCATCACGGGCTCCAGGTAGTCGTACTAATTCAATAGCCGACATTTGTCTTGCAGGCATAACTGATTTATCTTTTTCATCCATATATTGCTCATTATCGTATTTTGATAATTCTCCAGTCTCATTTACCTCCGGAGTTCACATCGGGGACCCAATTCAGAGGAACATTTTCCTATTTTTTAGGTCTAGATAGCCCAAGAAAAACTTTTTTGGTGTTCTAAGGATGGGGGACTCGTCGCCAAGAAAATCGGGTAAAGAAAATTTTTCCCGTCCCTTTAACAAATGGCCCTTTTTTACAACGAGCCTTTTCCATTCACCCCCAAATCATTAAAACACCCACGTTCCTTCAAAAAAACTTCTTATTTCCATTTTTTAGCATTTTGTTTTCTTTCATTTCTATCCGAAAAAAAACTCCTTAGATTTTTCCGACTTTTAAAAAAAAAAAAAACCCTTTAAATCCCCAATAAAAAAAACGAAAAAAAAAAAATAAAAACCCTTCTCTCATTTTTGCCAAAAATATTAAAAAAAAAAAGCAAAAAAAACCCGACCTTTTCAATCACATCAAAATCACCCCCCCATCTTTTAGCAAACTTCCTAAAAGTAGCATTTATTTAAAACATCATTTTATGTAAATTTTCAAAATCATAACTTAAATGGCATCCAAATGACTCATTGTTATTTACAGATACAACTGAGTAGACAAAAGTATAAACGAAGTTATTAACTAATAATAAAGCAAACGGATTTTAACGAACGTTGTTTGGTATCAATGTAAAGGAAACATTAGTATCCACCTGATAACCTTCATTTTCACTTGCTTTTTAAGTTTTAAATACATTCATATCTAAACACACCTCTTGTGGCATCGAATATTACCGAATAGTATTTGCTAAAATAAGTGTGTTTTTTTAATTGTTAAACAAATACCTTAACTGTCCCTTTAAGTCCGCTTCCTGTTTCTTAATCAGCATTTCAAATTCTTCCTTCTCCTTCAAGTGCTCTTCAAAAGTCTTCTTCAGTTCCTCCGTTTCTTCAGAACCTGGATTAAACATATTTCAAGTGTTAGTGTTTGTGCATGGAACTTGATGATAAATCTAATATATGTATAAAAAGATTCAATTGAAATTTCATTTATCTTATGCCATTAAAACTAAAATTTCACTTTATGATAAAAATTCATGTTGGAAAATGATTACAAATTAAGTTTTACAAATATCTAAACCTACCTTCGGTATCTTTGTTTTCTTTCACAGCAATATTTTTCTTTGTATCCTTATCTTTTGAGGATCGTTTTACTCTAAACTGATTCATCACCTTGGCAATGATATTCTTTGGCTTTTTGACTTCTGTATCTTCACTGCACTTTATCAATTCTGAACCCTCATTTGACTTCATCTTGATCAATTGCTCATTTCTTCTTTTCTCCTCTTCAATGAAATATTTTTCCAATTGTACAAACTCTTCAAGGCTATCCCGTAATGGACTTTTGATGGGCAGTTCAATATCCATACAATCATCGACTTGCTCAGTGTTGCACTGGGATTCGTCTCCTTTTAGTCTACGAAGTTCAATATCAGGGTTGATATAGCACAATGTTGGCTTTATAACATGTCTCTCATCCTCTGGCATGAAATTGTTTCTTTTATAATGCCTGCTCAAGGTCATTTTTGTATACTCCTTATCAGAAACAGTATATCTTTCGCTGTCTCTAGAAGCACGTCCGTAGGGATGAACAATAGGTTTCGGAATTTTCGAGCGTCCATCACGGGCTCCAGGTAGTCGTACTAATTCAATAGCCGACATTTGTCTTGCAGGCATTACTGATTTATCTTTTTCATCCATATATTGCTCACTATCGTATTTTGATAATTCTCCAGTCTCATTTACTTTCGGAGTGTCACATCTTGGTGCCCCAATATCAGGTGGAACATTGTCAATATTTGTAAGGTCTAGAGCTAAGTCCGACGAAAGCTTTTTTGGTGTTTCCAATGATGGAGACTCGCTCGCAAGAACATCGGGTAAACGAACTTTTCCAGTCCCTTTAACAAGTGTGCCCTTTTTGACATACGTTATGCCTTTTTCCATTACAGTCATTCTTAATTCATTAAATTCACCCATTTTCTGTTTCGTACTGGCATCAATCTCATTATTTCCATTTTTTAGCATTTCTGTTTCTCGTTTCATTTCATCAGTCCTTTGTTTCAAACTTTGCAATCCTTCAGATCGCCTTTCCTTGATTTCTTCTATATTATCATACAACTCCCTTAACTCCTTTTCCAAGTCTGAATTTTCAGACTGTAAAATACCTAAATTAAACCCTTGCTCTACATTCTTTGCTCTGGTATAAGCGGCTTCTTTCTTGTAACTGTTTAAAAATTTCATTGTATTAGCAAAATCTCCAGTCACCTGTTCTAAGTCAGCATGCTCAGAATGGACAGCCCCCATCACCTCATCCATCTCACTGTAATAGACATATATCCCCATACATTACTTTAAAGATTCACTTAATTGTCAGTAAAAAACAAACGGTTTAACAATGTCTGATGCATGAATTGACCAGATATGGATTGGCTTTCATTTAAAGAAATATTACTTATACTTAGTAAATCTATCCTAAGAGTAGCTAATTTATTTAAAACATCATTTCATGTAAATTTTCAAAATCATAACTTCAATGGCATACTCTAATCTTCAACCAGCCATTTTTTGTATTACAGTATACGAGTAGGCAATGTAAAGCGAGCTATAAACAATGCTAAAGCAAACGGATTTTAATGAATGTGGTTTGGTATCAATGTAAAGCAAACATAAGTATCTACCTGATAACCTTCATTTTCACGTGCTTTTTAAGTTGTAAATACATTCATATCTGAACACACCTCTTGCGGCATCGAATATTACTGAATAATATTTGCTTAAATAAGTGTTTTTTTAAATTGTTAAACAAATACCTCAACTGTCCCTTTAAGTCCGCTTCCTGTTTCTTTATCAGCATTTCAAATTCTTCTTTCTCCTTCAAGTGTTCGTCAAAAGTTTTCTTCAGTTCCTCCGTTTCTTCAGAACCTGGATTAAACATATTTCAAGTGTTAGTGTTTGTGTATGGAACTTGATGATAAATCTAATATATGTATAAAAAGATTCAATTGAAATTTCATTTATCTTATGCCATTAAAACTAAAATTTCACTTTATGATAAAAATTCATGTTGGAAAATAATTACAAATTAAGTTTTACAAATATCTAAACCTACCTTCGGTATCTTTGTTTTCTTTCACAGCAATATTTTTCTTTGTATCCTTATCTTTTGAGGATCGTTTTTTTGAC